CAAGATACCAAACATTTGATGTGGATTTCAAGCATACCTACACAAACAAATTATCTTTTGTTAGGTACCCAAGTTGCCTTGGGTCCTTCATAGTTAGTTCCCTTTTTCACCCACACATAATGCCCACTTGTTATACTAAAGTTTCTAACATAGCAAGCATTAGGTGTATGGCCTTTAATACCACAATAAAAACAGGTAGGTTCAAAGTTACTTCTATATCTAGAAGGATAAGATTTCTTCTTAGGAAATGTTTTCTTTTTCGATACATTAGTCTTTTTCTTTTGATGATTATGAACAACTTGCTTATTTTCTACTTTCTTGGGTTTGGAACTATTACTAGCCTTTACAAAAACAGTGGGATTGTTACTTGGTTTCTTAGAATTCACATAACCAAGACCCCTTTTATCATTAGGATAACGTTGTTGGCTTAGTAATCCTTCCAATCCAATTTGTCCTTTTTCATATCGTTCAATGACTCTTTTCAATTGAACAATTTGAAAGATATTTGATTCACACTTGGAGCATGCAAAGTTTTCTTTTTCTTTAATAAAATTCTGTTTTTGAAGTTCAAAATCTTTAGTCATGGTGTCAATTTTTTCTAAACAACTTAGAAGTTCTTTTTCTTGATTTGACACCTTTTTGTATAAACTTTTGCATTCTTTCAAGAGTTCATCAATAGCATCTTGAACATCATCATCAAAAAGATTAAATTCATTACTAACCTCTTCTTCATCGTCAGAGTGATGTGAAGCCATTAATGCTAGATTTGCACATTCCTCGCTTTCCGAATCGGATGAAGAACTTATCTCATTATCTTCCCATGCAACATAAGCCTTTTTGTTCTTGAACTCCTTTTTGCCTTTGAATCCATTTTTCTTGGAGAGTTTTGGACAATCCGGCTTTATGTGACCTTGCTTTCCACATTCATAACATGTGACATCTTGTGTTGATGTGGAGGCTTCTTTATCTTTATGATTATAAAATTTCTTCCTCTTGACAAATTTAGCATTATGAAGATTATTTTTATGACCAAAATATTTTCCTAACCTTTTTACAAGAAGCAAGAAGTTTTCATCTTCCTCCGATGCATCTTTATCTTGACTTTCCTTTGAATCAACTTTCAAGGCAATGCCTTTGGATTTCTTCTCTAAATTTTCATGTTTTTCAAGTCTACCGAGTTCCGTTTCATATTCTTGAAGTTTGCCAAATAATGTAGCGGAAGTCATTGCGGAGAGACTCTTCTTTTCCGAGATTGCCGTTACCTTTGGTTGTCATTCCCTAGTCAATGATCTAAGGATTTTTAAGTTGAGTTCATCATTTGTCAAGGTTTTACCAAGAGCATTTAAGTGATTTGTCAAATGCACAAATCTCTTTTGTAAGTCAAGAATGGATTCTCCGGGCTGCATTCGAAATAGTTCATATTCTTGACTCAAGGTATTTAGCCTTGATCTTTTTACTTCAGCCGTTCCTTCATGAGTTTGAACCAGGGTATCCCATATTTCTCTTGATGTCTTGCAGTTCGAGACACGGAAAAATTCGTCCATACTGAGTGCACCTTGAAGAAGGTTTATTGCCTTTTTGTCATAGAGAACTTTCTTTTTATCATCGTCGTCCCATGCAGTTTTGGGCTTTGCAGAACCAATGCCATTGATTACTGATATCGGGATAAATGGACCATTTTCAACAGCATCCCATACTTCCTCTCCTTGTGCTTCTAAATGCGCCTTCATGCGTATTTTCCAGAAGTCAAAATATTCACCACAGAATAGAGGAGGCTTGTTGTTACTACCACCATCTCTGAAAACTGGTTGATGATTTGCGGAAGCCATTCTGGATCTTTAGGAACAAGTTACCTATAACTTGCTCTGATGCCAATTGTAAGTCTCAGAGTTCCTAAGAGGGGGGGGGTGAATTAGGTCTTATAAAAATTTATTCGGTTTTATGAGAATGCTTGGTAGTAATTTTTGGTTAAGTGTTTGAAGGTTTTGATTATATCTTTATCTTTTCCTGATTATGGTGATGAAAGCGATAAATGCGGAAAAGTAAAGAACACGGTGATATATCCTGGTTCCCCTCCTAATCCGAGAGTACTCCAGTCCCCTTTCCAACACGAAAGAGATTTCACTATAGTTAGAATGATTGTACAGCCTATGCTTACTATCTAACCTATAGGGTGATCAAAGGTTCTTAACACCTTTAAGACCAAACAAACACTAATGTGAATGAAGAACAATCCTCTTCAAATCACAACACTTACTTCCAACAATCCTGGATAGTAAGGGAATAATTTCTTTAAGTAATACAATGATTTAGTTTGAAGTATATGGAGAGCTTTATCAATCTTCAATTGATCTTCTTCTTCAAGATAAAAACAATTCTCAACAATGTATATAAATGTTCACAATGTATGTATGAAACTTGTAATGATAATGAAAGTGTATATGGCAAGTTTCACAAAATTATGAACACATGAAGGTTTATGTTCAAAATGTGAATGATGAAAAATTGTTTATTGAAGAAGGTTTTTGTTAATTTGAAAATTGAAGTATTGTTGTATATTTTTGAAATAAGAAAATCTTCATTTTATAAAGTCATAAGAACCTCTTCATTCATGCCAATTCATATGAAAAGTTGCAATGCATTCATGAAAGAGTACCACTTGAAAAATGTTTAAAAAACAAAATAAAAGCTGCACTGGTTCGCTAGGAACCGGTTCCGACAATGACAGAACCCGGTTCTTAGTGAACGTTATAAGTTGGAATTCAAAAAATATCACGCAGGAACCGGTTCCCCTATTGGTACAACCCGGTTCCTGGTACAAAAACCAGGGACATGTTTTTTGAGAAATTCTGGAACCCGGTTCCCTGTTAGGGAAGAACCGGTTCCTAAAGGGTTATTTTCAAAAATACTTTTTGAAAGATATTTCAAACAAAGTTTTCTTGATGTTAAAGTTATGGAATATGTATATGTTGATGAATGCATATTGTGAACATCTATATGCAAGATTTTAAGAATTATTTATACCATTTGACATTTGATGATTCTTCAATAATTCTTCAATAATCTTCAAGACTTTTATTTGATGTTGATAAGCTTTTTGCACATCCTTTGAATGTTGATGTCCATGTTGTCTTCATCAAAACACATGCTTTAAATATGACTTGAGAAGCTTGCAATTACAGTAATTGTGTACGAAACAGTCCTTATAGTATTTCAAGCACTCTCGATTATCTTAGAGTTTTGATGCAGGAATACCCAAGGCAATTCAGCCTTCTCGAGTTTGCACAAGACTGATGAAAACTCGAATGCAACAAGAATGTTTGGAATTGTTTCTGGAGGATATGCAATTTTGTTACTGAATTTCTGAATCCGGAATGAAGTATTTATAGGCCATATTTGTATTGTTTCACAAAGTAGCGACCCTTGGTGAAACAATTCCTTTTACCAAAAGTTATAATTTTTGGCCTTTAGCAATATTTTTAAGAGTTGCATGTTTTTATTCTGCAACACTTCATGAAGTTTTGTCACTTTCGAATTCAAAATTCAAAACACAAGCAACGACCAAATTTAGAGCAATAGTAATAGGTCGGCCGAAGGCTGACTGCCAGAGCGCCACCGATGCCGCAGGTAAGTGCTCAAGTGCCGCCTACAAAGCGCATACAAGCCGCCACTAGCGCCTCTACGCCCACGCCCTCGGACGCAGAGTTGTCGGTGGTGACACCAGCAAGGGATTGTATGGATGAGACAAGTGGCATAATGCTTGGGACCACCCACACTTATCCATGTGACACTTTATCCTCTTTTGTCCTTTTATTGAGTTAATAATCTTAACTCTTTATAAAAGTTTTCAATGTGAGTAAATCTTTTTACGTGGGACTATTTCCCATACATTTATTAGCATTTACTCACTTCCACTTTCTTGTCATTTTGGAACATACCATTTATAATAAATACTCATAAATTACAACACTTCATGTTGGATTGAAACCAAAAGAAACTAGCTACACCTTGTTGCTCAAGCAATTAGTGAAAGAGAGAATTTGAGTGAGACGGATTATGGTAATTGAGTTGTAAGTAGAAAAATACAAGAGGAAGAGTGATTATATAGCACATTAACCACCTTTAAAGTGGTTCGCTTGCTGGACTAGTAAACCCCTAATTGTTTTTAAAGTTAGTTAAACATAACTAACTCTCAACTACCAAAATAAATAACTAACAAACCAACAACATACAAGCAAACTTTGTCAGTTTAGCGACTGGGAAAAGCTTTGACTAGTCATAAGATTACAATATTCAATACTTCATCTTAATCCTAAAAGCTGATCAGAAGTAACAGTTCCAATTTCTCTCCAAAACATTAAAAAATGAACTCTTTTGACAACTTTGGTGAACAAATTTGTCGATTAATCCTGAGTGGAACAATACTCCACTATAAGATTCTCTTTATTTGACCACATCACCTATCTCAATTCTTTCATCAAGAATGGGAAGGTTAACATAAAAGGTACAATTACCACTAACTACTGTTTTTCGCAAGATCTTTCTCACTATGGTAATTGACTATGAATTAGTAAGTAGTGAAATACATGAGGGGGAGGGATTATATAGGACATTAACCACCTCTAAATATCCCCTTCAAATAAGATAATTTCGTGCAAACCTAGTTAGTAATTCATCTCCCTTGGCAAAGAAGGCTCACTGGTGTCTCCAAGACAGTTCTCTTCTAGTGCTCTTCTTGTGGATCAATCCCCTTCATTCCCCTTCCAAATATCTCTTGTTCCACACCAAAAAAAAGTTTGAGATTCAATATATAAAACCAAATTCACGTGGAAGCTTTCTCTTTTAGTAAATGGTCTTACCAAACCTCACGGAGATCTTTGTGCATGGAGCATTATAATAGGACCAATTACACGTTTGTTTAAAACATCTTTCCAAGACATCACTCATTTGGTGCTATTTAAAATTCTGGGAACAGTTAGATTTTCAGTGCTACGGTCACTTCACCGAGATGAAAGAAAAAAAAAATTAAAACTGCACGTAGAAAAATTCATGTTTAATTAGTTAAAAAGGTTCAAATAATATGATAATAATTATCAATCAAGTGATAAAATAGGCTGCAAGTTATAGATAATCAAAACAGAGAACAAGTCATCCAGACTTCCATATGCTTGGAGTTGTGTTTGCAGTAACAATGAGCAACAGATAAAATGCTTAGAAGAGAAAAAGAACAAACCAAAATATGCATTCATGGTTCTTTGTGTCTTTGGATTTTGGGAGTATACCGGTGGTTCCAAATATAACAACTCCAGTATCATTGTCGATGAAAATGAAACTTTTCCAAGTTCCATGTAGCCAGAGGAAGAAAAAGGTGGAATCCTTCAATAACAATATGAAAGGGAAAACAACTTTTTCCAAGTTCCATTGTTGATGGAGGTACTATTTCTCTGTTCAAGATTTTGGAAGATTATGTATAGAACAAAACAACCATTTCTTGGCAAGAACAATGCAATCCAAGCATTAGTTGGTGGATTTGGTTTAGTAAGTGTTTATATAAACGTAAGAAAAGATGAAGGAAAAGTTGCAAAGAGAAGTGTTTGAATGAAAGAAGCCTCAATGGGAGCTTATAGAGTTTCTTATGATAGCCAACATTTCTGTGTTCCTTCCTTTTTTGTTTGTAGTATCGATACTTTTTGCAGTTCCTACTTATTGGCTTGTATGACTCAATCCTTCTTCCCTCACTACCTTCACTATTTCACTTTTGTGGTTTGGCTCACTGTGCTAATGGCGAGCTCTTTAGTTCTCTTCTTAAGTTCAGCATCTCCTGACTTTATTTCAGGAAATTCACTCATCTGCACATATTCAAAAACATAGATGTGTGGCATATGGTCCTCACCCCCTCCCCGTCTTTCTAAAGACTTAATGCGGAACTATATCTACATGAGTGTCTCCAACTATTGTTCTATAATAAACTCAATATTTTTATGGTAAAAGGTCAGAACTTGAAGCTCAAAATGTACATATGTTTACCTGGGCAACTTAAGACCTTGGTTAATTGTAATATTACTACAGGAGGATTCATCTCAATCATCAAGCAAAAGAGCGTTGGTGTTTGCCACATAACCAATCCCTTTGATCTGTAAAAGCAAATTGTCTAAAACCGAAGATATAAGAGTGGAGTCACGATGTGATGTGTCTTTTGCAATAAACTTGTGGATTTCATTAGTAACTTCAATCCAACTACAACCTGGTTCTTTTACAACCCCACTTATGTCCATTTTTTCCCTCAATCTTCTGACATTTCCCCACATACCTTTTGATGCAAATATATTTGAAAGCAATACATATGATCCACTATCTGCTGGGTTGCATGAAATTGCCATCTCGGCTGCATATGTTCCCAGTTCAACATGACCTGAAACTCTGCATGCACTTAGCAGGCTCCTCCATACTACTGCTGCTGGTTTTATTGGCATCATCTCGATAAATTCCTTAGCTTCATACACTTTACCAGCCCGGCCCAAGAGAGAAACCATGCATGCATAATGCTCAATTCCAGGTTCAATTCCTAATTGTGACATTGAATAAAAGTGATCAAATCCAAGGTCAAGAAGTCCAGCATGGCTACATGCCGATAGCACACCTACAAAGGTGACATAATTTGGTTTCACTCCCTCCATAATCATGCGTTCAAACACCTTAAGAGCTTTTGCTGCTTCTCCATGTGAGGCATAAGTTGCAATCATTGAATTCCAACATGCAATGTCTTTCCAATTTGTTGAGCTAAATGCTTTGTGAGCTTCTTCGATGCTTCCACTTTTGGCATACATATCAACTAGAGCATTTGCGACAAAGGGGTCATCATCATAGCCCATCTTTATAACCTGGTTGTGGAACTGCTGACCGTGTCGCAGACTTGCCATATTACTCGTCGCTGTGATTACAGAAGCAAAAGTGAACTCGTTGGGTTTTAGTCTTGACATCTGCATACCTTTGAGAAGTTTGAGACACTCTTCATTTTCAAACTGTTGGGTGTACCCAGAAAACATCGCATTCCATACTACAATGTCTTTGTTCTGTATCTCTTCAAAAACTAATCTTGCATTGCCAACGCGTGAACATTTTGAATAAACATCGATTAGAGCACTTCCGGAAAATTCATCTAAAGAAACCCCATATTTAACAATCAAGCCATGGATTTGGCTGCTTAACTCCAGGAGATATAATGACGCAGAGACCCCAAGAAGGCTTACAAACGTTAATAGAGTTGGTGGAAATAAACTTAGCCTCATTTCTTGAAAAAGATCCAATGTTTCACACAGCTTGTTTTGTTTTGAGTATCCTTCTATCATTGCATTGTAAGATACTAAACTAATAGCAGCCATAAGGTCAAAAACTTTTCTTGCATCAGTCAAGGAATCGCATTTGGCATACATGTCAATCAAACCATTTTTCACAAAATCATCATTATCAATATTGACCTTGATAGCATAAGCATGCACTTGTCTTCCCTTTTCCAGAGCCAGGAGTGAACCACATGAGTTGAGAACGCTAGTGCAACCAAATGCATCAGGCTTCCAATCCATTCTAGCCATTTCAACAAATAGGTCAAGGGCTTCCCAATGGAACGAATTTTGCATGCAACCAGCAATCATTGTGGTCCACGAAACAATATTTTTATCTAGCATCCGGTCAAACAACTTCCTACCCGACTCCCCTTTGTGACACTTAAAGTAAAAATCTATAAAACCATTGACCATTGAAACATCCATGACGATGCCTCTCCTTAATACATAGCAATGTATTTGCTTCCCCCCTTCAAGAAACTCAAGCACCGAACAAGCACTCAAAACACTTGAAAGTACATATTTATCAAGACAAACATCACCCTCTCTCATTTGGTCAAACAATTTTAAAGACACTTCACTTCTTCCTTGTTTCGAATACCCTGAAATGATCGTAGTCCACGTGAAACTGGTTTTGACTTCTAAACTATCAAAAAGCAACCTTGCTGCATCAATACAACCATGCTTGGTGTAAAAATCAATCAAAGAGGTACACACATAAACATCTTGAACATATCCACCCTTAACAACCAAACCATGTACCTGAAAAGCACGGTTGAGACCACCCAGTTGCGTGCAAGCTCTTACAACACTAGCTAAAATGTATTCATTTGGTTTCTCATTACAACTTCTCATGAACTGCACAAACAACAGCAATGCTTCTACACTGTAATTATGTTGAGTGTACATAGAAACCATTGAAGACCAAGTAACAAGGTTTCTGTGAGGCATAATATCAAATAGCTTCTGTGCATCACTTACTAAGTTCAGTTTTGAATACGTATGCAAGAGGGTGTTAATAAGGAATATATCATGTTGATGAAAACCCAACACCACAATTTTGGCGTGGATTTTCTTGTAATAATGAGTGGGTCTATTCGGACATGATGATTGCAATAAGTTTGCCAATCCACGACCAATTTTTCGTTGTTCAATGATTGGAGGAATATATGGATCATGTGGGCGAAGAAATTGATGTAATGAAGTGGAAAAGTGCAAAATTTGGATCGCATTGATTTTGTTAAGGAAGTTTACTTTGGATATTGAGAGTACTCGATGATGTTGGATTTGCATGGTAGATAGATATGAATGATATTTGCAAATATATATATATATATATATATATATATATATATATATATATATATATATATATATATATATATATATATATATATATATATATATATATATATATATATATATATATATAACCAATTAAAATCTCTTAATATTTATTATGTCATATCTATATTTTAAAAGTAAAAATATTTTTTAATTAAATACATATTTCTCATAAGTTGACCGTCTAAATTACACAATCAATCAATGCATATTCTTTTTGAGAGAGGGGTGTTGTACTAAACTTTAGACCGTCAATCCATCACAATTATTTTAAATATCAAATCATATTTATTATTTTTAAATAAATTATATGATATGTTTAAATGATGAATTTTAATTGGATGACAATATAAAACTATTTTACATTATAAATACACTATCTTTTAACTTTTTTTTTCTTATATATATAAATTGTTAAGTCTCCTCGTTAATTTTTGGCGCCAAAATTGATAATAACATCTACTTTCTTATATTTATTTATTTGTCATAATAAGTATTTATTTTTGTTTTAATAATTATTTTTAATTAGGGGTGTTTAAATCAAAATTAATCCAAATAAAAGTTATAAATCGATTTAAAAAGACTAAAAATCGTTAAAAAAAAATCAAAATTTATTAAATATGTTTGAATGTCATTTTGTAAAAATCATTCGATTCAGATTGATTTTTTAAAATCGATCCAAACCAAATCGCGCTATATATTTTTATACTTATTTATTTATTTTTATTTATTTTTTATTAATATGATATACATAAATTTATTATTAGATGATAATTGTTTTTTTAATAATATTTTTAATTTGATTTAATCTCTTTATTTTATTTATTTCAATCATAATCGATCCCTCTTATTTTATAATAATTTTTAATATACTATAAGTGATAAATTTATTAAAAATATTAATAAAAATTTAATTTATAATTTGAATATCCAAAAATCTATCTAAATTAGATTGGATCAGATCATTTTTTTAAATATATCATCCAAAATCAAATCAAACTGCAAATAAATTATCTTTTGATCAAATGAAAATTTTGGTTTTAAAACCAGATTATTCATTAAATTGACTTAATAAAATATATATTTTATAGAATTTAATTCTTACAATCATTTATTCATATATCTTAAATTTATTTAAAAAATTATAAATTAATAAAATAAAGTTTCTCCATATTTATAAAAAAAAACATTATCACCCTTTTAACTATTCACCTAATCATAATCATAATAAATTATAATTCTATAACTTCCTCCTACCAAAATATTATAATCTTATCATTTCTTTCCACCAAAAATTTTCACTCAATCTTTTTAATATAAATAATAAATACAATATATAAATTTCTATAAATCCACCTCTTCAAAATAATCTCACGTAATATCTCCTATTAATTAAATAATAATTATTATAATTAATTAATTAATTAGTTAATTCTGCATAAAAATATTCTTTTTTTTAATAAGGTTATCCATTAAAAGAAAAAGGTGGAACACAAAAAGGATAGGAAAGAATAGGTCAAGACCCTCTCAAGAATTAATAAACTTGATAAAATTCATCTCCAATTTATTTTTTACAAAATCACATCTAATAGCTAAGGATATGGTATCAAAAAGAGTGAGAGAATAAGCTATAAGGCCTGATTTAGCGAAATAATCAGCACAATAATTACCTTCTCTAAAAATATGCATAATAACAAAAGATATTTTCTATAGTATTTTTACAACTTAACCACCTATTTCTAGCTGCCAAGAGACCAAAGTATCCTTTGAAAAAGCTTGGACCACAATGGAAGAGTCGCTTTCAATCCAAAGCTCCGACCATGCTCTATCTCTAGCAAGCTAAATGACTCCAAAAACCGCAGAAAATTCCGCATGTAAGGAATTAGGATCCGATGTGGGCTTAGTAAAAGCTAATAAAAAGTTTCCAACAGAATTTCTGAAGATGCCACCACACTCACAAGAATTATTCTCAAAAGAAATGTCACAGTTACACTTCTCCCAATGCATAGCCGGAGGCTGCCAAATGATTTCAATAATTTTGGAAGCACGGGGATAATTCAACTTAATCTTGAAAGACTTAAGAAGACTAAAATTCACCATAGAAGAAGAAGCATGCAACACAGTGTTATTACCAATCAAACTGATATGTGCAATAATGTTGGAGATGCTAGACTGAATATGGGGAGATTTGTTGAGATATCTAGCCCCATTTCGAAGTTGTCAAAGATGAGAAAAATGCAGACTATAGTTGCAGTAATGGTGAGAGAGCCTTGAGGAGAATTGCTTAAATGACATAAAGTCCAAACATTGTTCGCCGAGGAAACGGTGATAGTGGAATTAATAAAACTACAAAACCAATGCCACAACTTGACTGCAAACTGGCAAAGAAAAAATACGTGAGCTGTTGATTTGCAATTTTGTTTGCAAAAATGCACCTAAAACATAAAGCACAACTGCGGATTTGAAGCGCTTCATCTGAAGGAATCTTATCATTCAGGAGTCTCCAAGATAATAAGGCTTTAGAGGGGGGAATGTCAAAATTCCAAATTTTCTCCGTCCAATGCATCTTAGGTGAAAGGGGAGCTTTGAAGTTGTAGGCAACTTTCAAAGATAACTTTCTGTCGGAAGAAAAAGGCCATACCATGATGTCCGAAAAAGAAATAGGAGCCTGAGAGAGGGCCTGAAGCAGAAAAGGGAAAAAATTGAACCAGACGCAGGGGATATTCCAAGAGCCATTATTCATCAAGTCACAAGTTAACATGTCAACATTTATTCCATTAGAAAAAAGAATATGAGATTCAAATCTATCAATAAAAAGAGTATCGCTCCAAGCATCCTTCCAAAACTGGATTTTGTCACCTTTACTAACCTCTTAACTACCTAAAACTCTATAATTAATTAAAATAATAATTAAAGAGGGTAGGTTTAGTGGGAAATTAATAAGGTTTAAGGAAATATTAGCCTTGTATATATAGCAATATTAATAAATTGGATCCTCTTATGCTTGCCAAATGACTCGGTCAAGTGATAGAAAAATTAGAGTTTTATTCTCATTTACTCTTAATTTTAAAGCTTCTCATTTGATTTCTTTTCTATTTTTCAATTATTAAGTTGAAAGTTTTCCATGTCTTTAAATTCATCCATGCATTTCATACATTTTAATGGTTGATTGGATGATTTTACTTTTGATGCCGAAAAATGAAGACTTGAGAAATGAAGACATGTTGTAAAATAACACTATGGTATTCAATAGTTTATTCTTTATTCTCTATTACTTTATTTTGTTTAGAAAAAATAGTCTATTAATATGGCATTGGATGATTTTACTTTTGATGCAGAGAAATGAAGACATGAGAAATAAAGATATGTTGTAGCATAATATGATATTCAATAGTTTATTATTTATTCTCTTTTGTTTTATTTTGTTTAGAAAAAACAAAACGACTTTATATTATTTTTCTTTTCTTTTTTTAGATGTGTTGATTTAATTATTTCTTATTATATAATTTACAATATTATATATTTTTCTTCTCAAAATATGATTTAACTATATCATGTTTGATAATTTCTATCGATTATTTGTTGCAGGAGATTACAATAGCAAAGATATTAAAAGTAAAATTGGTATCAAAGAAATTAATTAATTTTTTATTTATTTTGAATATTAATTTCCCCTTAAGAAACCTCCTATGCAACCTTCCTCTCTTATGTAAATTAGTTACCAGTGAATTTTGCTACAACTTCACAAGTTGTTAATTTTGGAATAAACTCATTGTATTATTCTTATTTTGGAATGTACAAAACAGTACTATATATACTATTTAAGTAACAAACTAAACTAACTGTTTAGTAACAAACTAAACAGAATTATAACAAACTAAACTGTAAAGTAACAAACTAAACTAACTGTTTAGTAACAAACTAAACAGAATTATTTTCATCATGTAATAGCCCCCCACAAGCTGGACTATGGATGTCTAATAGACCAAGCTTGGAAACAAGAGAATCGAAAGAGGGAGCTGCCAAAGGCTTGGTGAGAACATCTGCCAATTGAGCAACAGAAGAAACTGGTAAAAGGTGGATGAGACCAGTTTGGATTTTCTCACGAATGACGTGGCAGTCAATTTCGATATGTTTTGTCCGTTTATGGAAGGTGGGGTTGTGAGCAAGGTAGATAGCACTTTTGTTGTCACAATAGACTGAGCTAGGTTGATCAAAGGAGATGTGGAGATCCTTGAACAAATACTGCAGCCATTGCAATTCACAAGTCAAGCTTGCCAAGGCCCTGTATTCCGCTTCTGAACTTGATTTGGATATTGTAGACTGCTTTTTGGATTTCCAGGATATGAGGGAATTGCCAAGGAACACACAATATCCAGTTACGGATCTGCGGGTAGCAGGGCAACTTGCTCAATCTGAGTCTGCGAAGCCAGAGAGTTTGAGTGGAGAGGAAGATGAATAGAACAAACCCTTGGCAGGAGCACCTTTGAGATACTTGAGTACTCGAATTGTTGCAGAATGATGAACTTGCATAGGATGTGAGATGAATTGGCTGAGCTGTTGAACGATGAATGCAAGGTCAGGTCTGGTGGTAGTCAGATATAGAA